AAGGGGAGGAGACTTCTCATCTTTCTCCCTCAGAGAAACTGGTGGATTTGAACTTCCAGAAACTCAGGATCTCTTGGTTAGTAGTTCAACTCATTGGTTACTGTGCCAACCAGAGCTGCCCACTGTTTTTCATCTTTACAGGAGAAGACTGTCACATTTACCTGCCACAGATCATCTGGTGGGTTCACACTGCTAACCTCTCAGCAGCTGAGTGCTTTAACCACTGTGCCAAGAGAGCTCTCCTGTAGGATGCAATGAGGTTTAAAGAAGATCATTCAGGGAAACTATCTAATTAAGTGCTTTTGAAAAGTCATAGTTGCTTTTATTACTATTACCTTGTGTGTTTGTCTCATCTCATCTTGCTTCTTGAACTGGAAACCAAGGAAAAAGATATTCTTGTCCTTGTGGTCACATTCTGTGGTCTCTCACCGTGTTTCACTCTGCCCGACACATTCATGGACAATAACTTTATGAGGTCCAGTCATCTGTAGGCCTCTCACAGGTTCAGGAAGATTGAAGGAGGTATTCTAGAATTTACCTAGAATTTGAGGACCTGTCCTAAATAAATCTAGACCCCTTCTACACTTTGGTTTTTCAGTTTTATTGCACTTTACTAGCCCTCCTCTCCCTCCTCTGCCTCAGTCACTTATGAGAAGCCAAACTTTATACCAACTATTATATGAAAACCCTTGTTCAGGAATTGAAGGAATTACAGATTTGTAAATTAGGATTTCTCTTGTGGCAGATCCCAGAAAATGAGCTGTTTGTTCCCTGCAAGACAGGAGACAGGAGACAGCAAGGGGCCCCCTACAGAGAGAGTGTTACTTCCTGAGCTAGAGTTCACCCTCAGGCATCAAGGTTAATAGTTAAGGGTAAACCAAATTCTTGCATTTGTGAACCCCTCCTTCCTGAGTCAAGCAGAAGGTTTTCTATAGAAAGAGCTTGGCTTCATTTGCATTTAATTCTCTTTGTGATTTACTTCCTGGTAATTTTCAATAAAGATACAGAGAAGCTTGGCTTGGGGTCTTCAGTTGAGAACTGCTGGCCTCCTGTTTTATGCTCTCTGCTCTATCACATTCCTGGCTGTTTGTCTCTTTATTAATAATTATAAAATTATTCCATTCCTTGGGACCCTCGGTCTGCAACAGTCATTCAGGACAGTGTTCTCATCTTGGTGGTGTATTTCATATCTCCAGTCTGCAAAGCAGATCTCAGGTCCCCATTTCAGGACCCAGACTTTCTGGACTTGGGCCCTTTCAGAGCTAAAGGACACTTGGGTGATTTTTAGGATGCCTGGTGCTCTCCTAAAACACACAGCTTACCAAGGTCAGATTTAGTTTGTCTTTGAGGCTACATATATTCTTGGGGACAATTTTCACATTGACACTCATCCTGTTGCTAAACTAACTTGATACTGTATAGGAAGAGAAGGTGCATCTCTCTCACGATTGAGTCCCTGTCAAAGGTCCTACTATCCCCTCCTCGAAGCACTTTGCCTCCAAGAACAGCATCCATAATACCTTTGTTCAAGGATCAGTCAGTAAAAAACCCCAATTCTTTAAAAAAAACATAGCTCAACTCTTTGCTCAGGTTAGTGAACTTGTAGGATAAGGTATTTTAATTCTGCTCCTGGGGAATTTAACTGCCTTATGAATCTGCCCGGATGATGACTAACAAACCTTCAAATGAATAATTACCAGAAGATGAGAGTTATTATTATTACTTCCTTTATACATGTAGCTTCTTATCAGTGGTACAATTAAACTCTACGTTAGACTGTGGTTTGAATGCATCACCACTTGAGAGCCTTTCTCCTGAGACATTCATGGGGACCAGCCACTGGATCATAATTAGGGAGAGCACAGGGGCCTGGGTCATGGCAGGTGGTGTGTGCCCACTTGCTTGCCCTTGAATCTTTGCTTTGGCAATTATGAGTAGTCAGTCATCTCTTGAGATCTGATAGGATATAATCATATTCATAATGAAATATGATATGAGCAGCCTATCAGTTGAGAGCAAATTTCCTTGGGAGAATGACTTACATCAAATGTATAATTATTCCGGCAAAGTTCTCTTGTTTTCTGCTCATTTTGGATCCTCATCTTCTGACTTCTTGTCCTTTGAACTTGAACCAATGGTCTGATGTATTGTCTGTCTGACAATCTTGGATTCCCTGCAGAGGCAGCTATGATTCAGGAGAATCCTCTGAATTAACATTTGACCCATGGACTTCAGACTTGACAGTCTTTGCAATTTCATGAATTTTGAGATAAATATCTTTTTATAGACATATATGTATATACACACAAATACAAATACTCATATAAATATAACAACCAAAAAATTCATTGCCCTTGAGTCAGAACCAGCTCATAGCTAACCCTCCAGTAGGTTGTCAGAGGCTATAATTTTTAAGGGAGGAGATTGCCCTTTTTTCTTTCTTTCTCAGGGTTGTTATTCTTATGTGCTGTCAAGTTGCCTGTGACCCAGAGTGACCCTATGTATAGCAGCTCTGAAGCCTGCCCTACCCTGAGCCGGTCTCACTGATTCTGACACGCCTACCCTCATTGCTCCAGTTACTGAATCAATCCGTTTCATCCAGGATCTTCCTCTCCAGCACTGTCCCTCCACTCTTCCAAGTATAATGTTCTTCTTCAAGGACCGGTCTCTTCTGGCCACATGCCCAAGATATGTGAGATGGAGCTTCAAAATCCTCGTCTCCAAGGAGAAAACTGGTTTCACCCTCTCCAAGAGAGACTGATTTGTTTTCTTAGCAGTCCATGGTTGTTCAAGACTCTTCTCCAGCACCACAATTCAAAGGCATCAATTATTCTATCCTCCTTAGCTCTCTGGTGCATAGCAAATAATAGTAAAGACCATGGCCTGGATTAGGGGCACCTTAGTTTCTAGACTGACATTGTTGCTTCTCAGTACTCTGAAGAGTTCCCAGACAGCAGATCTTCCCAATGCAATTCATCTTTTGATTTCCTGACTGCTAGTGCCAAGAGCAAGCTGTAACTGTTAACAACCTCAATCTCTTTTCCATCCATCATCGTGCTACTAACTGGCCCAGTGTTAACAATCCTTGTCTTCCTGATGTTGAGCTTCAACCCATATTGAAGACTACAGTCCTTGACCTTCTGCAGCAAGCTCTTCAGGTCCTCCTCAGAGTAGTTGGTGGATTTGAACTGTGTGTCTTTGGGTTGGCAACACAGCTCTTTACCACTAGATTGTTGTGTGATTCATAGCCTTTGAAAACCCACTGAAGGACTCAGTTATGAATTGGTTCTAACTCAAAGGTACATAATATCAGTTACATGGTGGTGTCAAAGGTACATAGCATCAATTACCTGATAGTATGTGTGTAGAAATATATAGATACACATATATATGCCCCCCCGCCCCACACACACACTTGGTTTTGCTTCCTATAGACATCAGCCTTTGAACAATTCTTACCCTCATTTCCCTGTTTCACATTTGTCTCTGGTTCTGCCATCACACTCTGCCATTCTTACTTTCAGCTTCTGTCTCAGGCCTTTTGTGCAAAGTGTGTGTAAAGGGCCTACCTGTGTGTGGTATGTGGTGAGAGAGCCAGACATATGGTGGTTTAAGCTTTTCTGGAGATAAAGAACCTGGCATTCTGCTCCTTGACAGGCATGGGCACCTGTACGTCTGGTCTGACCTTGCCCAGGACCTATATATTGGTGTTTTAGGAGTTGTCCAAACAGGGCCAACACACATAGGGCAGTGAGGGGGCTGGATTCAGCTTGAATCCCGAAGCCTGTAGGGTGGGATTCCAGCTCACTGCTTGTTTCCTGTGGAAACAGGACAAATTAGAGCCTCTCTGTTCTTCAGTGGTCTTGTCTGTAAAAACGGAGGTATTAGTCCTGCCTAACTTATAAAGTTGGTGGGTGTTGAAAATGGATTGATGCACATGAGGTACTTTGAGAACAGTGCCTGGGGCTCAATAAGTATGCAACGAGGGCTGCAATTTTGAATGCTACATTATAGTTATTACCTTTACAAATGACTCACAGAGAAGGTCCTTTAAGAAAGAACACACCTCCGGAGGGTCATTTAATATGTAATACGCTTGATAAAATTCTGATGGCCTTTTTTTCAGAAATATAGCTTAATGGATTTGAGCTAAGCACTCTTAGCCTCTTCAACAAAAGATGTTCTCCAGAGTGGAGGAGAGATCTATAAGCATGAGGGGTCACAGCTGAGGTTCCTGCAGGAGGCCCCGGGCTCCCACGCACTGGGCAAGGAGACATCTCAGGGATGGGGCTACAGATGCCAGCAGGCCAGTGCTCCTGGCCCACTCCTTCTTCTTACAGTCCTGCCTGCCCTTGACTCTGTGGACAAGGGCCTTGAGCTCTTTGGCAGAGATTTCTGGTGGTAGCTGGTAAGACAGCATTAAAACTATTAGCAAAATTACAAGTCAGAAAAGCAGTTTATCTTAGTGATTGGTGGGTGGGTAGAGGCTGTTGACTGGCAAATACAAGAAGAAATTTTCTGGGGGTGGTTCAAACCCTCTACATCTTAATTAGGCTGGTGGTTATAAGGGTGCACACCTATGTAAAAAGTCCAGCTCATCAAGCCATAATTCCAATATGTGCATTTTACTGCACAGCGATTATGCCCCAATTAAAGCTTACTAGCCAAAATGCAAGTGGGAGTTTATACAGGCAGCTCATACATCATGCACCCTGCCTGACCCACTTTATTCTGGAGACAGAGAGAGTTCTAAGTCTCTGCACTCATTACACATCTTTATCTTCCTCCACAAGTGTGTTTATACCCACAGGTTATATTTATATCTGCAGCCACATCTATATATTTAAATCTGGAGGAGAGAGAGGAGTTATATGTGTGTGTCTATATAAAGGACAGTTTGCTTCTTTCAAAGAACAAGAGGATCCTGGCTTCGTTTTTCAGAACAGTACACATACTTTTGTTACCTCATTAACAATTTTGTCTGAAATGTTAACCCTCACCTTGATGACGACCTTAGGGATCTTCAGCACAATGGCCTTCTGCTTGGCCAGGACATCACTGGTCTCTTTGACTCGGGCAGTGACGAAGAAGTGCAGGGAGGCCTGCTCCAATAGCTGGCCCATGTACTCGCCAGCACTGATCAGCACTATCTTCTTCTTGACTGGAAAGAGAAAAAACCCAACACATCAGGAATCAAGACAGGAAACAGGATCTGTCTTCTTTCTCTAAGGTCCACATTTCCCCCCATATTCACAAGGCAGCAACAAGGGGCCAAATAAAGGTAAGGAACAAATAGAATAGTCAATCAGGGACAAGCTCTCCTGCTTCTTGGGACAAAGAATGTATTGGAAATGTAATATTCAGTAGACTCTTCCTAGAGAAGATATGCCAAACTTTGGGAACAAAGCATTCATTGTTGTAAAATAGAATACTACCACCAGAAACCAGAAACCTGGTCATTCCAACTGGTGGCAAATCCATCTGTGTCAGAGCAGAGCTGTAGGCTCCCTAGGGTTTTCATTGGATGGGTTTTTGGAAGTTGATCACCAAGCCTTTCCTCCAAAGAACATCTGGGTAGATTAGAACTACATCCTGGAGGGCCTTTATATTTAAAAGTTGGGCCTGAGGGATTCTATTTTAATCCTTTATTACTATATTTTGGAGGAACATTCTTCTAAGTCATGCAGCATTCTGTTCAATTTGCTGTGCTGAGGTAATCTGGGTTTGCTGTGACACTGAACCTTGTGCCATTGTGATCTCAAATACCATAATGGAACAACTGAGACATAGGTGTGCCAATCACCACGATGGCTCCCCATTCTGGGCAGTGGAGGAAAACTATAGCAGTTGTCCCCAGGCCTGATCACTCCCTGAGAAACCTGATGGTGCCAAGGTTTGCCAGGACAAAGACCAGACCAAATAATAAATCATGCTAAGGACCTGGGTCTGGTCACAAAAGCCCTGACCTGAGTTAATTAATGGCCCAAGTTCCGAGAGGTACCATCTTCCCTAGCCATTCCCAAGACCTCTATAGAAAGAAACTGCCCCTAACTGCGGGTGCATCATTCTGACTTTCTCTGCTCCTGGTCACTTGGCTTCCCTCCCAGACCATGAAATAAAGGCCTGTTCATTTCTTGGGACCAGTTTCTTTCTTCCTGTCTCTCACAATCAACATTTTTTCTAACAGGCAGTGTTTGGTGGAACTTCCAAATTGATTCAGATTTGGAAGCAGAAGTGGCATCCACTTCCTAAACTACATACCTCTTTAAACTCTATGAACTTGGAGAAATGACAATAGTTGTAGAAAGACTTCAGGACGTTTGTTCATATATATATAGGTACATATATGTATATACATACACACACACACACACACACACATATGGAGAGAGAGAGTGAGAGAGGAGCGAAAGGGCTCTTGTATTTAAAAGTCAGTTGGGCTCGAGGGTCTAGTGTTATTTTATTTTCGAGAAACATTCTTCTAAATTGTACAGCATTCCTCTGTCAATCTGCTGCACTGAGGTAATCTGAGTTTGCTGTGATGCTGAACATTGCCATTGGGGGGGGTCAAATGCCAGAATGGCTGCCCCTGGTGGACAGTGTTTGATGGAGCTCCCAGTTTAAGACAGCTTGGGAGACAGGAGTGGCATCCACTTCCTAAACCACATCCCTCTTGAAACCCTATAAATTAGGAGAAACAACAATACTTATAGAAAGGCTTCAGGCCTTTTGTTCATAGGGTTGTTATGAGTCATGCTCAACTCAAAGGCAATCAACAACAACCAACCTTTCAGTTACTTCTTGCAACACCCAGAGTTCCTGAGCACAGGACACTCTGGAGGACTTGCTATGCCCAGGCTCTGTGGGCTCCAGCACAGCTGTGAACCACAGCAGTCCTACCCTCACAGTCCACATTTTCTCCTCAGCCGTTTCATCTACCCCCTGTGTCATGTGTGCTTTTCTTTCCTGCTTAAGAGAAATGAGCATTTTGTTAAGACTAGCTCTTGCCCAAAGTTTTCAACCCTCTCACACCCCAACTAAAAATGAGACCTGTGCGCCAAATGCAAATCGCCTGTGTGGGGACCAGTGAGGAGTGGCCCCGGCTCCCCTCCAACCATCATCTAGGCTGTGAACAAGGATTCCAGCTTGTGGTTCTGTCTGGCTGCACGTTCCCTCTCCCACTTTCAGCAGCCCATGGAGCAGAGGGTAGTTCTCTAGCTAGGACCCTGCACAGCAGCAGCCTGCTGGGGGGGGGGGAGTCAGGCTGCAAGGGGCGGGGGAGGGGAGTGGTGATGACTCACTGCTCTGTCCCACGCACACACTTAGTACAGCTGCCGTAAATGTCTCCACTGTCTCCCTGTCCAATCTAGAGCTTCTGCCAAAGATCCCTCCTTCAGCTCAGGAGCCTGTTTTAGCTCTGCAGATTGAGTAACAGACTCCTATCAATGAGGGAATGCTGTAAGAGTTGGGCATCTCAGGGTGGTGGTCCACCAGGACTCACACTGGCTCCAGGCAGGGTACATCAGGCCATCTGTGACCCATGGCCGGGATTCTGAGACCCTGGGCTTGATCTGTAGTAGTTTGCCCTGGGAACCATGAAGCCAGGGAGGTGTCTCTCTGGACAGTGCCTTCACTATAGTTTCTCCACAGATAAGCACCTGCCATTAGCCCTTTAATGGAGTAGCCCTCAAACTCATTCCACATTATGATCATGCAGGGACACTGAGGAATCTTCGTGCAGAGTCCCACTCCAAAATCACAAAACCCAAACAATAATATTTTGTAAAATCTTCACCAGGTTCTAACATGCCGCCAGAACCAATAAGCACCAAACCAGCTACCAGTGAGCCCATGGAAGCAGCCCCACACAGAACCTCTGCCTAATGGAAAATGGAGGCCCTTATTGATACAGTGAGTTTGCTTGCTGCTACCGGAAAGGCTGGAGGTTCGAGTCCACCTAGAAGTGACTCAGGAGACAGCACATTCAAAGAATTGGTCACTGAAAAATCTATGGAGCACTACTATCCTGTGACACACATGGGGTGGGCATAAATCAGAATCAACTCAAGAGCAAATGGCTAAGTGGGAAGCAATTTTTGGCCTTCTATGCTCATCCCTCACTGCAATAACCGTGAGGTCCTCAGAGCAGCAGCATTCCATCTTCTGGAACGTTGCTGGAACACAGAGTCCCTGACCATGCACCACGTTCCCCCAGTCCTGTTGACTCATGACTTGAATTTCAGTAAAATTCTTAGATGATATTTTTAAATTCCAAATGGCATAGAGAAATAGATTGTTTCAGTACCGACCCGTAGCTGACCCTCCAGTGAGTTTTTAGAGGAAGTAAATTTCACAGAAGGAGATTGCCCATCCTTGTCCCATTGAGCAGCTGCTAGATTCAAACTTCATGCCTTCAGAACTGGAGCACAGCTTCTTAGCACTAGGCCACCAGGGCTCCACGGATATAAAGACAAGTGGGTCTAACAGCAGATGGAGCAGAGTTCGAAAAGTGTCATGATGGCCTCAGTTTTAACACAGAACAAGCTGGATCCTGGGAACCCTCTTTATCCCTGTCAAACCAGACTGATTTTTCCCCTGCCAAGGGACATCTGGCAATATATGGAGACATATGTGCTTAGCACTCTTCTTGGGGGTGAGTACTACTGAAACTTAGTGGGTAGAGACCAGAAATGCTCAGCTTCCTTCTAATAAAAGGATACTTCAAGAAAGAAGTATCTCATAAAAAATGCCAGTAGTGTTGAGGTTAAGAAGGCCTGCTCTAACCCAAGAGGAGTTATTAGAATGCAATTGGTTCATCCTAGACAAATGCTTAAGAACTGGCTTGATTCCTGGAGCAGTTCTGTGCCATCTAAAAGCCTCTGAAGCTATGAACCTGGCTTGACCTTGGCTTCAAATTCTAACTTCTTGAACAACTCACTTGTTTTGTCTTCTTTAGATATGGCCCTGAACTCTGCTCTCTCCATGGCTCACCCAGCAATTAGTGTCCGGATGGATAAGGCTCTGGCCTCAAGGGGATACAACCTGGGATGAGCTCATATGGCCTGTTTTTACTTCGTTTCAGATTAGCTCTGACAGAAGGACAGAATGACAAGTTTTGAAAAGCACACATTTTGCCTCTAGAACTCTCTGGTAACAATAATAAATGGACTTCCTCTGGCTATTTCTCCAAGGGATTTATTTGGCCGCTCAGTTCTGCTAGCTGGTGGGATATACCTGACATCCACCTTTCCATTTTTCTTTTAGAGACTTTGGTTGACTTTACAATCTTAGCAACAGGACTTCTTTATTTTCCAAGATAGAAAATTCCCAAGATCACAGAACTAAAGAAACTGGGCTGTGCTTCAGAGCCCAAGAGAACAGTGCTCCTGAAATAGTATGTTATGTAAGAGCTGTTTTGCCACTGAACAAGAAATTGTTCTAGATAAAGTTTATTAAACGTGGCAAGAGAAAGAAGAATAGATTTTCACTATGTGAGTGGTGGAGCTGGGATGCTGCCAATATCATTTACGGTGTCTGGGGAAAGCCAGGGAGACACAGAATGGAGCTGTCTCATCTCTTTTCCAAAAAGCAAAGAACACTAAATATATCCAAGTGGAAATGATAGCACCTTTGAAGGTAGTGGAAGGTTTAAGTTATTCATATCTTCCAGCTGACTCCAGCTCACACATTCCCCTTTAATCATCAATCTGGAAAGTATGCCTTCGATTCAACTTGGAAAACTTTCTTTTCAGTAGGACCACTTAGAAGACTATGCTTTGACCTGCTTGATCTAAGTCTGGAGTTATGTTTATTTCTGCAATGTAGATAGCACTTTATTGCATATGACTAATGTTATTATGTTAGGAAGCTCTGGTGGCCTTGTGGCAAGAAGCTGCACTGCAGTCCTGAAGTCACACAGTTCCAGGTCACCAACTGCTCTGCAGGAGGATATGCAATCTCCTCCTGTGTGATTAACTGCCTCGGAAAACCTGCTGGAGAGTCAGCTATAGGTCGGTTCCAACTGTGCAGTACACAACATCCTGAAGGATATAGAAAAGTCTCCAGTTTCCTTCAAATTTTTAAGAGAAGCCCTTGGGATGAGCCAACTGGCTGGGAACTGTGTTACTACTGAGATAGGCTTTAGATTTAATCAACTGTCCT